AAAAGTCGATGAATGAATGTTGGTACAAGTGATTGACATTAAAAAATGTATGCTTGTAAGGTCAAGTTCGAATTATGTTACCGTCACTCTTGGTGGGTAATCTGTAAATTCCTATGTATATCTCAATTCTATCTTAATTATGCTCTGGCCCTAGACTGCGGAATCACCTCTGACCTAAACTTCTTTAATACCAAAATTTTTTTTAAATGATAAACGAGTTTTGAGTATTTCGTTTTGATAGTATGTATTATGTTTATATTATAAATTCAATTTTATAGGGTAAAGTATGCATTTAGTATCTAAACTATCAGTTTTAGACCGTTTCAGTACCTAAACTTAAAAAAAATCAAAATCATGCCTAACGTTTAGTTTTTGTTTCATTTTAGTAGTCCGCCATTAAAAGCTTTACGCGTTTAGTGCTCAGACTATCAGTTTTTACCCATTTCAGTACCTAAACTTTCATTTTTTCCCTCAAAATTTAACGCTAAGTTTTTAATGGGTACTAAAATGAAATAAAACCTAAACCTTAGGTATATTTTGAAATATTGAAAGTTTATGTACTAAAATGGACCAAAACAGGTAGTTTAGATACTAAACATGAAATTTATCCATTTTTATATTTTCTAAATTTTAGTTTGAAATTTTTAAAATTTCAATTTTAACCTAAATAATAAGAAGATAATATGATTAAATTATAACTAAAAAAATCAAATTCGGCACAAACCAAATTATTTTATTTGTTAAACGAATCATTGTTGTTTTTATATATCGCAGTTTTGAACACCGGTAATTATAAAGGTGATTGAGTGTTCATTATTAAATGTAATTAAAACACATATTACTTTATAATCACTTTAGCTTAATAAAAAAATCAAATTCGTGAGTAAAAATTAAATGTATAATTTACAAATAATACATAAACTAATAACGCAATTTAACTTATAAATTTAATGATTATTGTTCGAATCAATAGCTAAAATTCAAAATATAAAATTAGTATAAAAATTAATTTTACAATTTACACAAACTAAAATAGAATAAATTTTCCAAGTGGGTAGTAGAAAAGGGGATTCTTTTTTTTTCAATCTTATCAAGTCGGGACGAAATTATGCCTTCTTGATATTATTTGTGTTCCAAGGTGACAAGTGAAGCATATATCATTCCTGCCTCTACTAGTTTTTGTGTCCTTAAATTTTTAAAAAATTATCAATTAAGTCCTTAAATTTTAAAAATTTATATCTAAGTAAATCATTTGACATATATAATTCATATTTGATCGTTAATACATCGGTGTAGTTGTTAATTGACAAATGGTCTCCTGACTATAGCGTATTGCTTTATTAAATCCCTTTACTATTAAAAGTTATAAAATTATCCTCTGACTATAAAGTGTTGATTTGTTGTGTCTCTCGACTATTAAAAGTTATAAAATGATCACTCGACTATTCATTATGTCTCAAACTCGACTTTTTTTTTGTTAAAAACTTGATGTATTCTGAGCTGAAAGTTAACTTAATGATTGTGATATGATAAAATTTGATCTAGGAATCTCAAACGACTATCATATCTCAGTCGTCATGTTAACATCCAGCTTAGAGAAAAGGCAATTTTTTAACGGAAAAGGATGAGCTTGGAATATAATGAATAGTCGAGTGACCATTTTATAACTTTTAATAGTCGAAAGATCATTTGTGTACTTTACCCTTTTAAAAAAAATCTAATTGTTTAGATTTTTTAGATTTAAATCTGTACTGATCTTTCTCTAAATCATTCATAATTTCATGAAAAAAAAGCCCTCTAAACACTCACAAGGGATACAGAAAAGAGCTACATTTAGGACAAAAGGCGACGAAACTTTAAGCGACGAAAACTGCATTTTTTCCATTTGAGACCTTTAAACTTTTTTTATTTAAAAAAAGGACAGAAATTTGAAGCTTAGTTTGGGTGACACCGATGGCATTCGTCACTAGAGCTCGAATAACCGTGGTTCTTCTCTTGTGCTTATTGCTTTGCGACGGTTGCAACGGTGGACGTCAAAAGCTGTTGGTGCTGATGAAGCGGGCGATGCTTTAAATAAAAAGATGTTGGTAAAGTAGGCTCCGACGTCAAAAGTTTTAATGTCTTAGATTACGGTGCGAAAGCCGACGGAAAGACGGATAGTTCGATCGTATGTTTCGGTTTTAGACTCTTCTTTCATTGTTGCATGTGTGTGCTCATGGTGGTTTTGTTTGATTGAATTTGTGATTTGGTGCAGAATTTCATTAGGACCTTCAAAGATGCATGCAATTTCCGTGGGGATGCAATGATGGTGATCCCTAAAGGGGACTTCTTAATAGGTCTGGTCATATTTTCGGGCCCCTGCTTCAATCCGTCTCCTCTAACTATTCGAGCCGAGGGGATGGTGAAAGCGCAATCCGACATTTCGTATTTCACCGGTGGAGCCGGCGCGACGGATTGGATCACGTTTCAAGCGTTGAAGAACGGATTGATTCTAACCGGTGACGACACATTCCACGGGCAAGGAGCTTTGGCGTGGAAGTATAACGACTGTGCCCATAAGTCGAAATGCGTCCGGTTGCCCGCCGTAAGCTTCGAATTGCCACCCTAATATTAGATTGACATAGACTGAAGTTAACGAATTTTTGGTTCATTAAATCGAAATGCAGAATATGAAGTTCGTCAGGGTGAATGATACGATCATCCCCGGGATGAAGTCCGTCGATGCGAAAGGGTTCCATATTTTTATCACCGTTTGTTCAAACGTTAAGATTTCCAACGTTAACGTTCAAGCCCCCGGAAATAGTCCCAACACCGACGGCATCCACATTAGCAAATCGAGCAAGATAGAAATAACCGAAAGCGTCATCGCCACTGGCGACGACTGCGTCTCGATAATCCACGGAACCAACGAAATCAGCATCAAGAACGTAAACGTGCGGACCCGGACATGGTTTCAAGTACATAAATTTACACTTCCTTTTTCGTTTCCACAAGCTCAAACACGAAAAGTTCCACTCATCCGTCGATCCTCGACAGCATCGGTAGTCTAGGCCATTACGACGACGAGGCAGACGTTAGCCAGATATCCGTGACGAACAGCACTCTTAAGGGGACAACGAACGGAGCTCGAATCAAAACATATAAAACCGATTCGTCGAGTAAAGCATCGAACATCTTTTTCAAGGATATGATCATGGAAAATGTAGCGAACCCGATTATCATAGACCAAGAATACGGAAACAGGGCCATTGCTCAGGTAATTCAAAGCTTTCTTCCATCCCAAGCATTGAACAAACATCAAAATTTTCCCTATGAACCCTAGACTAAATTTAGCTCTTCCGCTTCGGTTCGGTTTCCCGCCGCTATTAGGCATCGAGAGTGAGCATTAGTGACATTATCTTCGAAAATATCAGGGGAACTTTGGCGAGCAAAATTGCAGTACAATTGCTTTGCAGTAAAGTAAATCCTGGCAGTGGCGTCGAGATAAAGAACGTGAACTTGGAGTACTCAGGCCGGCCAAATTATCATCGGCCATTCAGTTCTAACTGCACCAACGCCAAAGTCACCTACGCCGGGAAACAAAGCCCCCCACCGTTCAGTTAGCGGTGGCGCGTGGACCAATTATTCATTATGTTATAAATTCACCATTTTCCATTAAAAGAATTAACAATATTCTCAGCTAAATGTTGACATGCTGACTGTGATATGATGAATAGTCGGGTGATCATTTTATAATTTTTAATAGTCGAGATACTCAAACTCAACAAAACAACACTCTATAGTGAAAGATCATTTTATAACTTCTAATAGTCGAAAGACTTAACAAACTAATGAAAGACTAAAATCGAACGGATCGATATTGTTACAGATCATTTCTCCTTTTTTTAAAATTAGTGACTAAAGTCGATCAAAACTCTAAACATAGGGGACTATATGCATAGTTTACCCTTTAAATATAACATAAATTAAATTTAAAGTCTTATAATTGAAACTTCATCACTACGATTTAAGATAATTATATATGCTTTTATGTTTTAAATAAATAAATTTAAGATAGGTTTAAATAAATAAATGTGGCAAGATTGTAAATAAGTGGGAAATTTAGGGTCATTGGACAACATCCCACTCCAAATGACCCCCGCACGGGCCGTTATATTTTGGATTTATGACTTGCGTTACACGAAGCGAAAGCCCCCTCATTTCCTCTCCCAATCACTGACTGCCACGTCATTGTCTTATACCCCACCCAAGGTGCTTTATTTTATAAGTTCCATTTAATAAAATGATAATAATATACATTATGTAAAATACTTTTTATTTGAATATTTTTAAGAACGATGAAATATTAAAATTGATTTTGTCGATCCAACATGAAAATATATAAAATAATAATATATTAACAATTCATAATCCGATAACCAATGTAAGATACAAGTTAAAAAAAATTAAAATTAATTGTTTAAATATATATATATATATATATATATATAATCTTTTTTGTTTGAATAGGAATGCCAAGGGATCCGAACCCGAAGGTTTTTGACTCGACTTGATCTGATCGGGTTGGAGTTTTTTTTTTTGAAAAATTCGGGTTCGGATTGGTTCGGGTAGAGTTCGGGTTTAGGGTAAAAAATATTTGACCCGATCGATTCGAAAAAAATAATTTTACCTTATATATTTAATAATAATTACAATAATACCCTCTATATATTATTTTTTTCAATTAAGTTACGGTTTTTATTGAATAAAAATATTATTTTATTATTATTTCGGGTCGAATTCGGATCGGGTGAAATCTTGTTTCGGTCAAATCAAGTCGGGTATCAGGTAGAGGATTCTTTGTTCTCGGGTTGGGTCAGGTGGACCAAAAATTCGACCCGACCCCATCCCTATTTTTGAAGTATATGATTTGTCGGTTTCTTTCGTAGATAGCTTTGTATTATAACCGTCAACTCTATAAATCATAGACCCCAAAGGCAGAAGTTTTTGAGTTGAAACTTTAGTTTTAAGAAACCCAACAAGAAAAATGTGTGGAGGAGCAATTATTTCCGATTTCGTTGCCGTGAGTCATGGCCGGAATCTGACTGCCGATGGCCTTTGGTCTGAACTCGACTTCTTCTCCGACCTCCTAGGTTTGGACAACAATGGCAAAAACCCTTTCAACCATCACCCTCACAGCACCAGCAACAGCAACAACAACAAGCGGATGGATCCTAAAGGCAATCAACTTAACAAAGGTCTGCTTTTTTTCTTAAAAAAAAAAAGTTGTGTCTGTGTTTTGTTCTTGTTCTTGCATGAACTTTGAAGCTGGGGAAAACAAAAAAGGCTTAATTATGATTTCAATCCCTTTACTTTGAGTTGTTAGAATTTGGTATTAGTATTTTGGATATTAAATCTTTTCATTAAATCATAATTCAAAGATTAATCTACAAAGGACTAGCAAAAAGCTACAGTGTAGACAGTGCAAATTAACAAAACTCAACCGTTTCAGTTCATGTTTTTATCAATGATTATGAAATATAAGGACCAGATCATGAACAAATGAAGGGAAGGTGCTGATTTCGCAATTTGTAAAGGGGTCATTTCATAATTAGACCTTTTTGTTGAGCATGAGCAACAATGCTGATTATGAAATATAAGGACCAGATCATGAACAAATGAAGGGAAGGTGCTGATTTCGCAATTTGTAAAGGGGTCATTTCATAATTAGACCTTTTTGTTGAGCATGAGCAACAATGCTTCAGCCTTCAAGTTCATGCATGAAAAAAGAATTGATTAAAATTTTGATCTTCTTTGGGGTGATTACTGAGTAGAGCAAAGCGAGATGACTCAGAAGACAAGCAGAGTCAAAGAGAAAGTTGAGAAGACTCAGCGAACTCGGAAGAGTGTTTACAGGGGAATCAGGCAAAGGCCATGGGGTAAATGGGCAGCCGAGATTAGAGACCCTCATAAAGGCGTCCGAGTTTGGTTCGGTACCTACAACACAGCCGAAGAAGCGGGTCGAGCCTACGATGAAGCCGCTAAGCGCATTCGTGGTAACAAAGCCAAGCTCAACTTCCCTCAAGCTCAAGCCGAAGAAGCACCACCAGCCCTCACTCAGCCACCTGCTAAGAAAAGGTACATGGGCCCTGAGTTCACTCAGCCGAATTTCGAGAGAACCACCGATTCACTACCACCACCACCGCCACCACCTTATCCTATGGGTTTTGGGTATGGAAGTGAAGCTTATAGGCCGGTTATAGTGGAGGAGAGTGAGTTGGAGCTGAAAGAGCAAATCTCGAGTTTGGAATCTTTCCTTGGTTTAGAGCATGATAATGAGATTACTACGACTCAGATGAGTGAAAACGGTGGGAGTGGGACTGACTCACTGGAGCTTTGGACGCTTGATGACCTCGTGACACAGTATCAGCTACAGCACTAGCTTTTTATAGTGTTGAGAAAAATATAATGTTACTTATTGTTAATCAATGTTTATGTGTTAATTACTTCTTTAATTACGTCGTTATATTATATATACATATGTATGCATGTGTGTTTAAGAGTTTATGGATGTTTATAAAAAAAATATCATGATAATATTTGTGTTTATGAGTCATGTTTGAATCAATGCATTAATCGAGTTTTACACAAATTTAGAACCGTTGAATGAGTGAAACAAATAGTTGAGAATTCAGTAAATATCTTCACATTTCCTAATTTTAATCTCAGTCATATGTATTCACTCATCCAACGATCTTAAAACTAAAGTAGACCCAATTTATTATTTTCATCATATCGTATTTTCACATCAATTTAGCCATCAAAGTTTCTTAATTGTATCATTCTATAACCCTACCCCTAACTTAACCTTAAATTACAAACCCTAAACCATAATCTCATTACCTCTAAAACTAAACACTAACTTAGGGTTATTATTTAGGGTTTTAAGTTGGGGAAGGGCATAGAATGATGCCATTAAACAACTTTGAGGACTAGATTGATGCGAAAATACGATATGGATGAAAATGATAAATTTGGTCTACTACATGACAAAGGTGACCCTTAAGCCTTATTTTTACTATACCAACTCTTACTACTTGATGATAATTATATTAATATATGGATTGTTATTTTACTACACCAATAGATCAAACTCTAATTATTATTTTTAATGCATCTATGGATTGTTATTTTGGTATTTAGACTTTGAATTTGTCTCATACACTATTTTGATAAATTTTTAGTTAAATTTATTAATTTATGTTTATATTAAGTTCTATATAGTATTAGCAGATTTTACTTATAGTTAAAAAATAAAATAAAAAATTTGGTAAGCTTAACGAGCAACGAGTTGAGTCAAGCAAAAAAAAATTTTAACGAGCAACGAGTCAAGTCGAGCAACAAAACTTTTTTAATGAGCACGAGTCGAGCATTGTCCAACTCACGATCGACTCGCTCGATAAGCACCCCTGAGTTTTTAATATTATTTATTTATTATGAGGAGGGATGACAAATTTTTCATATACCCCATCCCCATTCCCATTCCCGTGCACATATAATATTTTCGTATTTTCGTATCTACCACTTATGATGGATACAATTTTTAAATCCACACACACCCATGTAGTTACATCTCAAATTCACACTCACACTCACCTATGCAGTTACATTCTCAAATTCACGCTCACACTCACTATCTAATTAGATATCCACCACCCATCTTGTACCCGTCTGTAGCCGTCTATACCCACCTAACAACAACAACATATATTAAGAATTTGAGAATTTAAGAAATTGGTTTTAAAGATTAAGAATTTGATATAGGAAAATCGACAATCTTCGATTCTAAAAATGTTTATACCCTAACATTTGGTTAAATTACAAGTCATGTCCTATAAAATCTTAAGATTTACATAATAGTCTCTGAAATTATACCTAATTTCATAATGGTCCAAAATTTATATGGTAGATAAATAGTGGGCGGGTGGATGTGGGGCAGACAGACACGGTGCAGGCAGATACGGGGCGTGTAAGGTCTCAAATCCATCACCTACCCACTACTCGACGGGTATGACTTTTTACATCCACACTCGTTCACTACACACTAATCGTATACCCATCTCGACTCCAATTAGAGTGGATGGAGTGCGAAATTCACGAAATTGTACCCGAACCTATCGTTTTTATTAATATTTTACAACGTCAAAATATCAAACTTAATATATTAATAATTTATCATCGTTTTTATTATCTATTAGTAAATTATAATTTTTTAATGAAATAATTTTTTAAGATAACTACTAAAAAGTTATATAAAAAAAATTAGCGAGTTGCTTACGAATCTATCGAGTCGAGTTGGACTTTGTTTGACTCAGCATTAAGGTTTCGAGTCGAGCTCAAGTTCGAGTCAAACTTTTACCGAACTTTAACTGAATCGAATTCATAAATCCTAAACATGTCCTTGTAGAATAACTCTAAAAATAATCTACATACATTTTTTTATATATCATACACTATATATAGATAATATTTACAATTTAATCAGTACGAAATGACATGAATTTTTCCATCATAATGGCGATATAAATAATGGATTGAGAATTTATAGGTGCATGAACCAAATCTTATGGTGCGTCATGGAAACTTTGAATAATTAAATATTTTATATTCTTCTAAACAATCCAAATTTCAATAATAATCCCTCAATGTTTGTCTTTATTTGTAAACAAAATGTACTAATCATTCATGCTTGTAAGAGATTAGAATAAGTTAGGTTAATGTCCGGCTTAATTTAATTCAAATTATATTTTTTTAGGGTAAAGAACGCGAGTAGTCCCTCACTGTAGTAGGATATTGTTTTATCAAGTTCATCGATTATTAAAAGTTACAAATGATCATTCGATTACAGGGTGTTGCTTTGTTGAGTCCCTCGACTATTAGAAGTTATAATAAAATGGTCATCCGATTATTCATTATGTTACATACTCGTCATTTTTATTAAAATAGTGACTGTTGTTTAAGTTGGACATTAACGTGATGACTGAGATATGATAGTCGTTTGAGATTTTGGGATCAAATTTTATCATAACACATCCAACAAATTAACGTTCAACTCATAATATCCTCCATTTTTAACGAAAAATGACGAGATTGAACATAATGAATATTAGTGACTATTTTGTAACTTTCACTAGTCGAGGGACTTAATAAAATAGTATTCTATGGTTGGGGGACAATTTGTGTTCTTCTTTACCCTATTTTTAACGCATGCCAACTTATCCATGTAATAAGTATCCATATGTTTGATATTATAGCTAAACTGACAAGAAAACATGATTAATATAACACTAATATTTTAATTAATACTCAATTGGATAATTAATTAAAAACACCCAATATACTTGACCTGTATTAATTAAGACTCAATAATTGATGGCTTAATGGTTCTTGGGGGTAAATTAACTGCCACGTCTCCTAGTTTGTTAACTGTTAACGGTAGTTAACTCGTGGTGACGATTAAATAAAAACGAAAGTGATCATATAGTAATTTTTTCCAAAATCAATGAGGAAAAGTGGACAATACACAAACATAAATGATCAATCATGTAATTAACCCATATTATAATTGATTGTATCGGTCTACATTGATGATATAATTAGTTCATGGTAGTGACATGACAGTCCACGTAAAATGATTTTTTAGATACTTTCAATAATTTTTAAAATATTTTTTAATAAATTTTTATTTTTAAAAATTTAAATAAAATTTTAAACTTTATAAAAAAATCAATTTGACTCATAAAACTTTCTAAAAGAGTCAATTAAACTCATTGACAATAGGATGACAGGGCAATTTGGTGTTGTTTTGTGTTGATGTGGAAGCTAAGAATTATTTTTTTCACTCATTTTCGTATATCGTCAAAAATTATCATTCTTCGGTATCTTTTGTGATCACCCTAAACATCAATAAACTGGTCTCATTATCCTTTACCACTTCGCTGGTTTAGATTTTTTAAGAACTTCTTTATAACCCACAAAATTAAAATAAAAAATTATTATTTTTTTGAGTTTGGGGACTTCCTCAAATCTGGAGAGTTTAGGGTGTTTTTCGAAAATTTAAATAGTGGGAAGCATTCTTTCAATAAGATAAATAATATATCTGAGACTAGCCTCATCGAACAATCTTCATAGGAGATTAGAGTATTAGAATGCCAAACATTTAGATGAATTTTCGTTGATTTTGAGCGGGTTTCAAGAAAAACCAATCTGATGAGAAGAAGGATGAGTGAAACCTAAACATATTGTATCGATATTTTGTGAACTACGATCGGCGACATATGATAATTGACCAATAGTATTGACTAAAGGAGTTGATGATTGTCTACATCGACCAAAATAATACGCAAACTAAAGTTTAGTGTCTAAAAATAAAATGTTTTAATAGTTTAGTGACAAAACCGACACACAACTGAAGTTCATAGGAAATAAAACAATCACATTATCACGTCGTTAATGATTTAACGTTCAATACTTACATTGGAGTCAAAACTAAAGTTCAGTGCTTAAATAATAGCGCTTTAAAGTTCGGTGTTTAGGGTTCAGTGCTTTTACAATTGGAACGTTAGGAAACCGGTGAAGGATGGTTTTATCATCAGGAAGCCTACAAAGATTCACTCCCGATCTCGTGCACGTAGGATGAAGGAGGCCAAGAGAAAGGGCCGCCACTCTGGATATGGTATATGATTAATCTAAGTTCGATAACTTGTAGTCACAGAGTTTGATACATGATTAGTGTTCTATTGTTCCTCGAAGTTCTGCGTGAGCAAGATATAATGATATCTATTAAATACTTTAAGGTAAGAGGAAGGGTACCCGAGAGGCAAGGTTGCCAACAAAGGTCCTTTGAATGTGTGTTCTGAGGTGTTTGCTTTGTAAGTACAGGGAACCCAAGAAGATTGATAAGCACACGTACCATGACATGTACATGAAGGTCAAGGGTAATGTGTTGAAGAACAAGCGTGACTTAATGGAAAGTATTCACAAGTCCAAGGCCGAAAAGGCAAGAGAGAAGACACTCTCCGACTAGTTTGAGGCCAAGCGTCCTAAGAACAAGGCTAGCAGGGAGAGAAAGTTGGCCAGTTTGAGGCCAACCTTTACATTTATGGAAGGTGCTGGAAACATCGAATGTTATCCGGATTCAATGTCGGATACAGGAATGTTATTCATAGATTTGGAATACCAAACTACATGCTCATCTCCGGCAAGCTTCGGATTCAACTTGAGCTCACGTTGTAAGAAGTACCGGCATAACCCGAGATTAGAAACTCAGTTTCAAGCTTGAGCCTAACTCAACAATCTGAGACAGTTTTGAGTTCAAACCGAGCACAAAGTTGTTTTTACTTTATAACAGTGTCACACTGAACTCATAGCAATGGTCGTCCA